AGAGGGCCTCCGGGGGGTGGGGAAGACTGTTTTCACCCTCCCCAAGCTCCTAGAAAACCTCTGGAGCAGGGGAGGGCGAAAAACAGGCCTGCTGGGTCCACCATGCCATCACATGCCAAAAGCGGGGGGAGCATGGGGGGTCGCGGGCATAGAATTATCGGTATGGGCACGCAAGCATGTGACCATCCTACACTCACCCGCTTTTGGCACGCGATGGCGAAAAGGTTAGCCATCACTGGCCTAGCCCAAACCTAAGATAATATCTCCTAATAAATTCTATATATTAAAATATATTAAAATATACACTGTTGAAAGAATTAGATAGTAGTTAATGCAAGAAAATCACATACCATTTTCATTTGTTTTGAGAAGATGTTTGCTTTCTTCCAGCTTTTGTACTGTAGCTTCTAATTGTTCCTGCAATTTGCATATCTGAAATGTTTTCATATTATTAGTTATCTGCAATATTTTTATCGATATCAACAAAACAATATTTCAAAATTAATGTCAGAAGAAACTTTTCCTAAATAATAAATATCATTGTATAAGTCGTTCTTGAAATTTAAATAAATAAATAAATAGGTAAATATATAGGCATGTTTGTTTTAAAGGCCATAAAACAAAAATACCTCAGAGTATTTCAAAGCAGCTAGAAGCATCTAATTAACATTATCTGATCCTTAAAAAAGGAAAACAAGGTTCAAGTTTTGTTTATTCTTGGATATCACTAGAAAAATCCAGGACAGTAAATAAGGTTGGAAAATAGGAAAAAAGAATTCCTTAATAATAGTAAATCATTTTGCTAAGAAACCATTTTTCTCAAAGAAACTTACAAGGACATAATGTGACCAAGAAATGAGTTAAAACTGAGGAAATATTTACTTCATTCCAGAGAAGAGTGGATTTATAGGAAAAAAGAAAATATTTCTGATGAATGGAAACCTTGTTTAAGCATTTATTATATAGAAGCAAGACTCTTCAGTTACCTCTTGTTCTTTCTCTCGAAGAGAACTTTCCACTTCCTGTAATTCCTTTTGTTCTTTCTGTAGTTTTTCTTCTTTTTCAGCCAAGAGCTTTTCTTGCTGAACTGTTACTGTGTTTTTCAATTTCAACTTATTCATTAACGTTTTTACATCTCCTTGCAGTTTCTTTATTATCTCATTGGCCTGGAAACAATATTACAATATACTAAATGATGATCAGTTGAAATCAAACCATAAACATAAACAAGAATACTATGCTTAAGCAAACCTTAAGGAACTCAGTTGACAGAGCTTTCAGTGAGGTTTCCAGTTTTCCTATCTGAAGTTGTTTCTTTTCTGCATTTTCTTCCAGGTTTGCCTTTTAAAGAATATATAATGTTAGGAAGATTATGTAACAAATAAAAAAGTGAAAATCTGCATGGATTGGTTTCCAAATATACAAGGAACTGGTAGTTCTGCAAATCCTATAATGTGGTCTGTAAAACCAGCAGCACTTTGAAAGTTTAATGTGTTATTAAACAGCAATATGTTCTACAATCTATAATTTGGGGGTGGGGGAGGAAGATGGTGTATGCAATGTGTTTGAACTTCTAAACACTGCCAAGTTCTAGTGAAGAATATTACTAGGTTGGCAAAGCAGTTTCAGATTGTTAAAAATTATGTTCTATGTTAACAATAAAATAAGCTACTTTCAATTAAAAAATAATAATAACAGACTACGATGCCACAAAGGTTCTACTTTTCATATAATGTAAACCTTATAGGTAATACACAGACATGCTCTATATTCCAAAGCTGAAATCAAAAAGATGCCTCCTTAAATAAGCTATGTTTTTCCCTTGGCTTGCAAGGTAGCCATACAACCTCAGGAAAATAAGTTTGAGTTGAGGAGGCAGAGTATGATAAACTGCTTTAAAATGGCTATGATTACTCAGTTTCCTCCTCCTGGAATCATGAAGCTATCTAGCTTTTTAAAACAGGTACTGACAGGTATAACTTACGTGTTCATGTCTCCGCCAATGGAGCTTTTTATTGTCAGATCAGACAGCACATGCCTAGTCACATGCACTTAGCCAAACACATAATGTATCATTTTAGATCATAATGAACTTTAATGACTACATTTGTTATAATAGTACAATAGAAAAAATTCTAGGAACCTTTTGCTCTTGTGTGGCTTCTAATACTTCTTTTGTTCTGGCAACAAGCTGGTCCTTATCTTTGATCTCTTGTTCCAAAACAGCAACTCTCATTTGCAGTTGATTAACTTGCTTCTCCTTTTCATGGCATTCAGCATCTAAGGTAGTATTCTCCCGACGTAAGGATAGAACTTCTTGCTTTATTCTTTGGCATTCCTTATCAAATGGAAAAATAAAGCATTCTAAAGTATTTTAAAGATTTGAACTTGATTTAAAAAGTAGGTATACACTGCAACAATTGTTTAGATCACACACCTATTATAATGTGGAATATTTGCTGTATTTTCAGTTGCTTCTAAACTATACAATTAGAAATTGTAAGTCATGAAAATCAGATCTTTAAATAGACACAAACTGGCAAATGTTACATACATCTTCTGCACTTGATAATTTTGCTTTAAGTTCCCTGACAGTTGAATCGCCTTTGTATCTCCTTTCCATTAAGTCTTTGTTAGCAAGTTCCAGCTCCTTCAGCCTGTTCTGTAGTTGCTGGACAGTTTTCTGATGCAGGTTTTCCAATTCTCTTTTCTGTTGATCATTCTGTTGCTGATAATGTGCTTGTGCCTATGAAAAATAGAAAATGTTTTAATATTTCCTAATTTTAAATTTTTAAAAGGAATCATTTGTTTTATACACTGTATTATTTACATACCTGCAGAGTTTTTTCTTTCTCGTTTGACAATTCCTGAGTATGTTTACTATTCAGTGATGCTATCTTGGAGGCCCATTCGCTTCTTAAATTATCTAGTTCTCTGCTCTTTTCAGACAAGGTCTAAGAGAAAAAAGCATAATCACTAGGCTTTCATATAATGCTAGAATTTAACTCTAAGTGTTTTATTAAAGGATGACACTCATAATGTCTTGTCTATTTTAAAAATATAGCAATATAAACATTGTATGCCTTCACAATTCTATATTAATCTAAATTGTTTTCTTTTTTAAAAAGGGTTGTAGCACATTAAGACATATGTTTCCTCTAATGAATTAGGCTTTCACCTACTTAGGCTTATGATACAGCTAATTTGTTATTCTTCAAGGTATAGTAACACTTTGCTAACTTTGCTACAAATGTGCTATTCTGATAAAATTTTCTTTATTTCTATATATTTCAATAATACATGTTCCATTAGCTTTATAGTTAGATATTCTTGATAAAACATAGTTAAAATAGCTACATATATTTATTTTGGTTTTCTGTAAATTGGGGCATACTGAAGCTTTCTCTTACCTGCTGTGTATAATTCAGTTGTCTTGTAAGGTCCTCCTCTGTTCTGCTAAGTTTCTGTTCCAGAAATAACTTTTCTTCCTATAAACAATTGAAAGTTTCTCAGTCAATATATTTTCAGTCTACAAAATGATTAGTTGCAATTAGTAGTAGATATACTCTCCTGGACATTGGAGGACTTTTTCATCAGTCAATGTACATTGGCTTATACTATAAGACTGCCTTATTTAGCACATCATTTACAAGCATATTTATACTACAGGAATTACACAGACTGTTTTTCTAAATATTTTAGAATATTCATTCTAAACTAGATAAGGGTGAAATCTCAATTTAGACTTCAGTAACAAAGGACCTTGGATTCAATGGATCATTTGCCTCTCACATGATCTATTAAACTAAGATTTCATTGCATTGCTATCAATCAATTCTAAAAATATAAAGAATGTTAAAGCTAGGATATTAGTGAGTCTTAAATTTAATACCATGTACCATTTAACTTCATCTTTTACTTCTCTTAATGACCAAAAATAATTGCCAAAAAAGGCAACACTTAACTGTATGTACCCTGTTTCCCCCAAAATAAGACATCCCCTGATAATAAGCCCAATTGGGCTTTTGAGTGCATGGCAATAAGGCCAAGCACTTATTTCAGGGTTCAAAAAGATATAAGACAGGATCTTATTTTCGGGGAAACACAGTATGTATGTACGTACATATGTATGTACGTAACTGAAACTATCATTTTACCTTAGTAGATTTGAGGCAGGATGCCAAAAATTTCTTGATTTCAGCATCATTTCCTGGTAAGAATTTTAGTGATAAATGGGTAAGATGTTTAAATGGATTTGTCTCAACCACATTTAGAAATGAAGGCGTGTGATCTAAACTAGATCCTGAAGAAACCAGCTGTAGCAAAAACCTAAAAAGAAGAAAATATCACATATAACAAAATACAAGTTACCCTCTCAAAACCCTGCCTTCTCAAAAAAGGCAAAGCTACTTATAATCCCTAAGTAACAATGGGAAATCTTTGCTGATGAACATTTTAGTAGTCTAAAATCCCTTTCAGTGCACTGCTAAAACTCAACACTGTGTTTTTTTGTGATTTTTAGAATACAACAGCTATCCCCAGGCCTCTACTTCAACCAGCTCCACCATTACCAATTAATGTCACCTCAAGCCCCATGCCATGACCACCTGTCCCAGCATCATACCACAAACCCCCAGCTGCTGTTGCCCCAACATCACAAGCTGAAGCTGCCCTTTGGCACAAACCCTCAGCTATCATTTTTGGCTGCCCTGCATAGTGGCATTCCTCAGAGTCAATAGCAGTGACACCTGGGCTGAGGTAGAGGCTTGGGACCTTCAGCAGACTTGCCCTGCCTCTGCTGCCCTACTTCAGTCCTAGAGCAATTGGCAAAGCTCCTGCCACCAAGGAATACTGCCTCAATCTCCATACTATGGCCAGCCAACCCAACACTGTGGTGCAAAGCCTCAGCCACTGCCACAAAGTTCCATCTACCTAGCTACAGCCGCCCCAGCTCTGCAGTGTGAAGCCCCAGTGATAACCACCTCCTCTGTCCTGTGCTCTGCTGTACCCAGCTGACCTTCACTGCCTTCTTCCTATCAACAAGGTGTGCCAGCCTGGCCCTTTATGAGGCAGCTGCAGCCTTGGGGATGCCTCGCAAGACCTCAGAAAGGAGGCATGCAGCTTCAGGAAGAAGTCCACATGCAGCCAGCAGCTGCCTTGTGAAGAACCAGGCCACGTGCAACTTATCCACAGTGGGAGGAAGATGTCAAAAGTGGATGACGGGGCAGCGGAGCGTCGGGAAGAGTGCAGGGCAGTAAAGCACAGGACAGCCAAAGGGCAGAGTGGGGGGAGATAGGCAGGTGGGGGTAAGTTGAAACACACCCTGTAATAGTAAATGCCAAGTGCCTGAATTTAGACCATGTGATTACAGGAGGCTACAAATAGTTGTAACTTTGAGGACCAAGCATAAGTAAGATATGATATGCCATCATAACTTTGAACAGTTGCTGAACAAACTGTTAAGTGAGGACTACCTGTAAAATAGAGATATTACTTCTGTTTGTGTTTTCTGCCTGAACTACCCCATAGCGCTAATACCCAGCCCCTAAAGAAATAACAAATAAGGGCAGCTCTGAGCCATCAAAAGGTTTTAGAAGCAAACAAATGAAAATGATCCTATTATCTCTCCTTTTTAAATTTTAGTCTTATTTTCTTGAATTGATATTCTAAATAAATAATAGATTGATTTACAAATGCTATTTATATTCTTTGATTTGAAAATGATATAAAGTACAGTTTATGTATTTCTAACCTTGGGATTTCTTTATCTTGTTCTTGGATACAGTGCTGAAGAAGATCTATAAATCTCTGAGGAAAAGCAGAAAAATCTACCAGAAGACTTTGCTGAAGTTTCAAACTACAAATAAAAAAATTAAAAAAAAATTACACTTATCAATGTAATGTGTGCTAAGGGCAGATAATTTTCAAGACATGTCTTTCAAAAGCTAAGAATTATAAAGTGTTCGCCTCAAAAAAAAAATACAAAACAATTTTCTTACAACCTTTTGGAATGCTACCACAATTTACCTGTCACTTCAATTAATCACTTATTACTGCAGTAATCCTCATTTCCCTTTCTAAAAAAAATATTTATTTTTTAGCCCAGTAGTTTTCATGTAACTAGTAGAACATGATCCTGAAATAAGGGTGCCTCTCTCCTCAAAATGTTGAAAGTCTAAATCAGTGTTTGTCAGTGAAACTTGGCAATATTTAAAATGCATGGACTTCAATTCCCAGAATTCCCCAGTCACTATGATGGGAAAATTCTGGGAATTGAAATCCACACATTTTAAAGTTACTGAGTTTGAAAAATATTGGCCCAAATAGACCCATGGTCTAAGATTAGCATTCAGAATTCATGCAAAAAAAAGAAGAAAACTAAATATATCAAACATCAGTGATAATGTTTCCATATAAGTACTGAGTTATATACTTTACATAATCCTAACAATATAGAGATTAATTTGGTTATTTTTGTAGCAAGACTATTACACCAATATCTTTTATTATTAATGCTGGATAGTGTACTTACAAGTAAATCTATAAAAATCAGAACATTCATGAAAACCTACCTCTGAAAATCTTCCTCAGAAATAACAAGATTATACAGGAAAAAGGGATCTGAATCCTCAGTTAGCCGAACAACTAAATCCTGAAGGAAGAGAGTGTGAATTTCAAAAATTAAATGAATTTCTCTATAATAATTATTTCAATTGTACCAAATTGTACTAAATCATATGATTCATAAAATGCTAAAAGCTTCTATTCAACATATAAATCTTGAGCATCACAAAACAATAGCAGAAGTATGAAATCTAAGAGCAAATCGTCACTCCTAAATATTTCAAAAGAGAAGTCTGACTGCAGGATTTATCCAAATCTGTCTTTAAAGTGAAGGTAAAGTGATGGAAGCCTCCTATCTGATCCATCAACTTTTTTCCCAAGGCCCAGCCCATTTTTCTTGGCCTTTTCCGTTCTACAACTGAAAACAGGCTTATCAATACTATAACTTTGATTCTTAGTCAGCAAATAACATGCTATGTTTACAAGTTCCAATTTTATGGATCTTTTAATTGAATTGTTTTAATAAAGTTTATGGTAGGATACTGGTGTAGAATGAGGTTTCGGAGTTTTTGATCCAGATTCCACTCTTTTACCAACTACGGTATTTAAAAAAGCCATTTTTGAGATATCATGCTTTGGGAATGAAAGCTACACTAGTGTGTTATTGTGAAAGTCAAGTGAAAAGTGGTATGGCCTAGGACTGGAAGGGCAACCAACAACATTGATGAACTTCAGGGTGCTATTTGAAGGAGAAGGGCTCCACAAGATCCTGGCAAAGAGCAGTGAAGAAACTATAAATGCCAAGAAACAATTTGCCATCAGCATCCTTGAAGAGGAATAGCATTAGAGGGAGATGGTTAAATGGTGTTAGTAGCCTTGAGAGCCACACCAGTAGTGGGGGCCTGGAGAAGCCTAGCTGCAACATCAGTCCAACAACTATATTCACCTTATTGAGACTGGAAGTTCCCGCAGCATAGCTGAAGCTAGTTTCAATAAAGAAGAATATTTGTAGCTCAGGGTTGAAATGAGGGATCCTTGGTGTTCTCTGAGCTTGATTGTTTTGTTGCATCTGATGATATTACCTAGTTTGGGTAATGAAACGTCTGCAAGAAAACAACCAAGTTCAGTGTAGCTAGTTTTCCAGTGAAAGATCCAGCAAGGGTCAAAAACAGTAGTGCTCTAAGGACATCACAGAGTCTAGGTTAAAACATTTGCTGTTTGAAAAGGAGGAGGGAGAGTTGGCAGAGAAAGATATTTTTTTATGTGTGCCTTTGAATCAATGTTCACTCCTGGCAACTGCCTAGACAACTCCCTGCAATTTTCTTGGCAAGATTTCAGAAGTAGTTTGCAGGAAACAAGAGATATAGATATAGCAGAACAAATAAGGTGTTCAAACAGAAATAAAACACAGATGTAATTATAAGAAATAAAGCATAGATACAGAAACATAGGAATAAGGTATCTAGAAATCTAAGCATAACAATAAAAATAAGTACAACACACACACCCAGTAGCAAATATTTTTGTGTACTAAATCCTCCTCTGTAATAAAGGAAAATAAAATTCACCTCTACTTTGTGATCTGCACCATTCCTCAAAACAACCTATGGTTGTGGGACTGCTATCAATAAATACTTATTCCAATTAGCTAAAGAACCCATAGAGGAAACTTACGTGGTAGTTAACATAAATTCTTTGAAGTCCTCTCTTATTATGCTGCTTATCACTTTTTCTATTGTACATTTACCCCATTTATGCCTCGCCTATTTTCTAAGAGTTCATGGATGAATAAATGGGGATTTAATTTTATAACCAGAACTAGCATTTGAATGACTGGCCTATATTAACCAGTAAATCCTTGGTGGAGTGGAAACTTAAACCTATATCTCACAAAAGCCCAAGCCTTAGCTACTATATTCTGCTAGCTATCAGCTTGTTATGTATCCACAAAAAATCACAATGAAGTGTAAAAACTGTCACTGGAAACAGAACATTCTGGAAAAGTCTGGAACATTGCTTCCCTCAGGACCAAGAGGACTTCTTTCCAGACTGTTATTCTCATGGAGGCTCAGCAATTTCTGAAAGTAAATCCTACAAATTAGAATGTCAGGGTTTTGGCAATTGCCTCAAAGTATTTATTTCAAGCAAGTTTCCCTTTTAACAAGGGTTATTAAAATGAGTTTAAAGAATTTCAGCAATTGAACTATTTTCCTTTTAGAACCACTTCACTCTATCATTACTTTATAGTAAAGTACTCCACTACTTTATAGTGGAGACTTTCTCTGTTTCTTTCTGATGATCTTTCTGTGAGCCAGTGAGATTTATTTTTTTTCCTAATAATAGAGAAACTGTAGCTGGCTGCTTAAAGACTGAAACTTTATCAGTCTGTGAAACAAATTACACAAAAGCAATCTGAGGTGTTCCAAAGGGGAGGGTGTAACCCCCAAAACAGGCTTTGTTCATCCAGGGTACCGTAACTTGAACATCTTGAATTGTTTCTTAGAATAGCATGATCCAGAAGATTTCAGCAATAATAGGGACTGGAGGCTAAAACATATGAAGAGTGGTTGCAGGAATTGGGTATGTCTAGTTTAATGAAAAGAAGGATTAGGTATGACGATAGCAGTGTTCTAATATCTCTGTAGGCGGCCACAAAGAAAAAGGGTCAACCTATTGTCCAAAGCATCTGAAGACAGGACAAGAAGCAATGAATGAAAACTAACCAAGGAGAGAACTAACCTAGAACTGAGGAGAAATTTCCTAACAGTTAGAACAATTAATCAGTGGAATGACTTGCCTTCAAAAGTTGTAGGTGCTTCAATACTGGAGGTTTTTAAGAAGAGATTCAACAATTTGTTTGAAATGGTATACAGTTTCCTGTTTGATCAGGGACTAAAAGACCTCCAAGTTCCCTTCCAGCTCCATTATTCTGTTATAATATTCCAGAGTTTTCTGGAGTGTTCTGTTCACAGTTCAACATATTTTGTATATTTTTATTAGATAAGAAAAGAAATATAACATTTCCCCCAAAATAAGATATCCCCTGATAATAAGCCCAATCGAACTTTTGAGCGCATAGCAATAAGGCCAAGTGCTTATTTCAGGGTTCAAAAAAATATGAGACAGGGTCTTATTTTCGGGGAAATATGGTAGCTTTCTCAGCAGACAATTACAAAGTACAAAACTACTAAATAAATGGGAAGGGAAGATATATGAAAATTAGTCATAATGATGTACAGGCTAAGTGAAAGGATGGAGGATAAAGTAACATGGAAATCTGTACAAGAGTATTGAATGAAGGGTAGAAAAGAGACTGAATGAATACAATGATATTTGAAAATATATTATTTGATTAGGTTGTCCTCACTTTGGTCTCAACTTTGCCAATATACAGTTATCATGGAATATTACTTCTAGGTTTATAAGTTCCTTGCTCTGTTCTGTAGTGATGAAATATTATTATTCTTCACAATATTTATTCTGATAAATAATCAGTAAAGTCTATTGTTCACGAAGGCATATGCTTGGCTACAGTTAGCAAATAAAATTTTAAGCAGGATAATTTATTGTAACAACTGAAAACAAAAAGCACAATGAAGGAAATACAACCTTTCTATGAATGGGATTTGTTGTTGATTGCATTTCAACACTCACTCGGACCTTTATTCGTCTGCAAAATACATGAAAGTGCATTCAATATATTGATGTAAGTAACAGCAATTTATTCTTCAATTGATAAATGTTGTATTTTAATTCAAGTAAAGGTGATCCATTAAGAGTCTGCACAGAATTATATCTATCATAAAAGTCAATATACCATAATTGTCATAAAGTCAATCTTTCCTGCTAGCTTTCCGGAAAGCCCTGAAAATGTGGCTCTACAAGATGCCTGCATTGTTTAGATCAGTTGTCACCAACCTGTGGTCCGTGGACCATTGGTGGTCTGTGAGAAAATTTTGGTGGTCCGCAAAAAAATTATTTGCATTTGTTGTATTGCACTAAATCAGGGGTCCTCAAACTACAGCCCTTGGGACAGATACATGCAATGAACGTTTGTGTTGCTGCAGAGTCTCCCCCTTCGGGGTCTTTTTGTGTGGGTTGGAGGGGGACAGAAATTTCAACTTGGGGTCTGCTTCAGCCTCCTGGTGCAGGGCTTTGGGCGAAGGCTGGAGGGAAGTGCCGCTGGTGTTGAAGAGCCGGAGGACCTTGTTCCAGTGGGACTGCATCATGGCCTGGAACTGGCTGACCATCTCAGCCTGCTGAGCCTCCATGCACCAGGACATGGCTTTGCACTCCCACAGGTCTTCCCTCTGCTTGGAAAGCCTATG